TTAAAAAGGAGTCTCTTTGATCAGTACTTTTTTCTTCCTCTCAGTCATACGGAAGGTTCGTTTTACATCTGACTTTTCCTTTTGGAGATTGGACACATTGACAATTCTCGGTGTGGCTCAGAGTAAGGAATTTTAAAGGCAAGGAAGGGTGATCCAGGGCGAAAGGATGAATTTAAAATCCTGTTAACTCAGATCCTATGTAGACAGTCTCCCCTAAGTCAATATTTAAAGAAGATGGGAGACTGGATGGTTAGGAGACCACTGTTGTGGGATTTAAATGCACTTTTACTCCAGAGTAAAAAATAAAACCACTGGAATGTGGTTCAGGTTCTTGTTTCATATGCTACAACTGTGAGTCAAGGAAATGTACCATTTTTCCTCAGCTGACTCAAGCTTGGAGGCCTTTCCACTTTCTGTACAGGTTGATTCATTGAAAGTACAAAAGTAATGACAATAATGGCATCCATTTAAGGAGCATTTACCATGTGCCAGACCCTGTACTCGGAGCTTTATGTGCATCGTCTTGGGGACCAGTTGGTTTATGGAAGTGTGTGCCAGTACTGCTTCCCAGGGATTTTGTGTGTTCCTCATTCTTTTCTCCTAGTGTGTGACAAAGCCTTGGAGCATGAATCCGTTTGTTTTCCTCTGGCCCCTGTCCTCGTGGATTGGGACCCCTCTGCATCCTTTCTTCTTCCTCTCTCTTGGTAGAGCGATGCTCCCATTCCATCCCGTCTGCCCCTTTTCTTCCTCTGGGTTGTGACATCTCTCATATCTTTTATTTCTCCACCCTGTGGCTGCTGCCTAGTGATGGAGTTCTACTCTGTTTTTTTTTTTTTTTTTTTTTTAAGCTTTGGGGGATTTCCATTTCTTTCTTATGAGCTTAGCCAATTTATTTAAAAGTTGATTTTGCTGGTTTTATTCATCATTGGAAGGCTTTTTTTTTTTTGATGGCGAAAGGGGCACCATGGTGGACAGTTGCCATATTATGAGACATCCTATTCCTTAATTAATGAACGAAGTTGGTGAATAGTCTGTTGTTTTCTCCTGTCACATGTCAGAACCATGCAAGACATTGCTGCTTAGTTTGTTGGGCGTTTGGGGGCAATCTTGAAAACAGATTCCACTGTAGAATTCTGGGAGGCTTTGTAGCTTGGATCCATTGAAGAGCCAGGGTTATAATTTCACAGGAAATTGTTCTGCTAGGTGTGCACAGGATGGCATTGAGGCTTAGATATTGCCCTGAGCCCCCTTCCCCTGTACACACACACTCACACCCCCCAGACCAGACTGGAGTTCCGAGACAGCATTGCCCGTGACAGTCCCCCATCACGTCAGGGAATCTGCAGAGCTGGTATCAACCATAGGTGTTCTCTCTCCTGTTGTCTGAAACATGCTAAACTTGCTTATTTTACTGCCATTTGAGAACAGATTTATTTTTCCTTTAAAAAACTCTCCTGTCCACAGCCTATTTTAGTCCCCTCGTTGTACTGGGCTTTTACCCTGACAGAATCAGTGTTGGACCTGTGTTGCCTGCAAACCTGATTGCTGTCAAATTAAATTCCGTGTCTCCCTTGGCCTGCCATTGATGTTCTTTTTCTTAATTTCCCACTTATCCCCTCCCCTCCCCACTTTCAGTTGTTGTAGACGAAGCTGATAAGTGGTGTTGTGTCATCCAAGTGCCCTTGTGTTTTTCCCGGGTGTGGAGCTTGTGAGTGTAGAGGTGGATGGAAACAAGTAGGTGCCCAACTGGTTTCTGAAAATGGAGAGGGAGCTTAGGTGACACCTCCTCCCGGGGGGAGTGGCTGCCAGTTCAGGGTTTTCCCTGGGGACCTCTCAACCAGTAGAACTTGGGACCTGGATATCAAATGATGGTGGGGCGCAGGCCTGGTATGTTGGCTTCCTGGGACAGCTGTGGCATATTACCATCAACTTGGTGGCATAATTACTCTCTCAGGGTCTGGAGTCAGGAAGTCCAAAATCACCGCATTGGGCCAAAACCAAGATGTGCACAGGACCACGCTCCCTGCGGAGACTTCAGGGCGATGTAGACTTTGCCCTCTCAGCTTCCGGCGGCAACTGGCATTTCTGGGCTGGTGGCCACACCAGTCTTTGTCTTCAAATGGCCTTCTCCTCTATTTGTACAAGATCTCCCTCTGCCTCTATTTTGTAAGGACACTTGTGAGGACATGTAGAACCCACCAGGGAATCCAATTTAATCTTACCTGGAAGTCCTTCACTGAAACCCGCATCTGCAAGACCTCTTTTCCCAAACAAAGTCCCACTGATAGGTTCCAGGGATTAGCACTTCCTATCTTTGGATGGCCATTATTCAACCTAGTACAGGCAATTAACGAGCTAAATAAATTATCCTGACCATAATCGTGTGCTCTGTTAAAAAAGGTGGATCGTATTCCCGCCTGGCGTAGTACTTTGTAAGATTTCATTGCCAAGGGGTGTAATTTTTAAAACATTGCAACACAGAGTCAAGCAGAGACAGAACTTAATTGTACTCTTCAGCATCTTTCTCTCCACCCCCCGTAAGATGATGGCAAAATATACTTGTGTGTGTGTATGGGGCGGGGGCTACAGGAAGAAGTGAAGTTTATAAGGCTTCTTTTATCTAGCATTCATGCAGCGAGTTGGGGCCCATCTGTGGCTGGAGTGTAACTTTAACTTCTGTGGGCTGGAAGTGTTGGCCTCTGGGACTTGGGGTGTTGCAGGTGCCCCTCTGTGTGGTGCAGAGGGGGGGCTCCCTAGCTAATTTGTTTCCCTCTGCTGATTGTCCTTGGCCTTGGCTGTTTTTAGGTCTTTGGATTAAGGGCCTGAGGTTCCCTAGTAAGATGAAACTTTGTTCTCCGGATGAGATAACAGGCGAAGCTGTTTATAGCTGTTTTTGCTCTGCTGGATCCAACCTTTAGTAAGCTGTTGGTCACCTATTGTGTACTGTGGCGAAAGGGCAGTGGGCCCCTGGGCCCTGTGTTAAAGTGGCTAGTGCTGTGCATCTTGAAATGCCTGTGTGCAGGGCAGTGGGCAAACAGGTGGCAAGGGGACCTGGAGAATGACGGACGTGTCCCGGGGGAGCACGAGACCCTCCCCTGCAGACAACCTGGAGACTCAGTGAGTCCATGGTGGTGCTGACTGGAGAGGTGGGGTGCTCCTGGGGCCGCAGAGAGCCCCGAAGTGTTTCAGCCTGAAATCAGGTTCCAGGCCCATGGATTTCAAGGCAGAGGGCAGGGTGAGTTCAGGAGGCCAGGATGGGTCACCGAAAAGAGGAAGGACATCGATCGATGTGCTAGTCCAGGCTGACGGGTGGTGGCTTTATTAACTTATTTGACTTAAAGTTTGCCTCTGATTTGCACTTTTTTTTCCATTTTCTTTTTAAAAAGTCTATTTGACAGCTTTATCAAGATTTAATTAACAGGTAAAAGTGCATATATTTCCTGCGAGTCGTGTGATGCTTTGATATGTGTAGACATTGTGAACTGGTTACCAAAATCAAACTCATTAACATGACCTTCACCTCATTTATCATCCTCCTCCTCCTCCTCATCATCATCATTATTATTTTTTTTGTGTGTGTTTAGAACATTTGAAACCTACTCTTTTAGCAGTATGAAGTATGCAACAGACACTGGGTATCCCTGGATACAATGGCCCCGGAGTTCTCTTAGACATAGTAGCCCTGGGTGTCCCTTGAACAGAGACCATGGGCATCCCTTAGACACAAGGGCCCTGGGCATTCCTTAGACACAGTGGCCCTGGGGTCCTTTGGACATAAGGGCCCTGGGCATCCATTAGACACAGTAGCCCTGGGGTTCCCTTGGACACAGGGACCCTGGGCGTCCTTTGGACACAAGGGCCCTGGGTGTCCCTTGGATACAGTGGCCCTAGGATTCCCTTAGACACAGTGGCCTTGGGCGTCCCTTGGATGCAGTGGCCCTGGGAGTCTCTTGGATGCAGGGGCCCTGAGGGTTCCTTGGACGCAGTGGCCCTGGGGGTCCCTTGGATGCGGTAGCCCTGGGCGTCCTTTGGATGCAGTGACCCCAGCCCGGGAGGCAAGGTGCCTAATCGACAGAAAGGAAGTGGGTATGGAGGAATTGACATTATGTCAGTGGCTGGTCACATGAGAGAGGAACAGCAGGATGTCTTAGGCCTGGAGGGTGAAGAGATGATACCCCAAAAGGAACAAGGAGAGTTGGGGTAGAAAAGACGTCTTCCCTCCCTGTCCTTCTCCTTCCCTGTGTCCCTGCCTCCCACTGTTTAGGACGACTTGCTGGTGGGGAAACCGCGCCAGAGCAGCTTCCTACGGGAGGCTGAGCTGTGGGGCTGGTCCTGACTGGGCGTGGGTTCACCTTAGTGACTCACTAAGGGAGAGAGGTCAGTGTGGGAGGCCAGGGACAACCTGGGGGTGCAGGGCTCAGAGAGGGCCAGGAGGCCAGAGCTGCATCCTTGGACAGCACCTCCTGCTGCTGCCTAACTGCACCTAGAACTGGAAACTGGAGGCAGAGTTAGGTGTTTCTGAAGTGGGCTGGAGTGGGGGGAACCAGACCCAGGGGGATGATGGAGAGTCCTGAGAAGTAGTGGGGACCTTTACTCCAGAAGTTGGTATTCAGCTCCTGATACCCTCCCTGCAGACAGCGAAATTTGACATCAACCCTTTCCTGATCCTTCCAGGCTACCGTTCAAGTTTGCTTAAGTAAATTCCCTTCTCTCCTTTAATAAATGGATCTTTTTTTCCCCCCGATGATCTCCTTTTTTTCCCTTTGATGGCATTTAATTGATTAAATTAAATTTAATCAATTAAATTGATTGATCACAGGGCTGCGCTTGCTAGGCAGGTGTTCCCCAATGAGCGGGACCCCAGTCCTGATGGCTTGGGATCCAGTGTTTCTCCTGGTGCAGAGAAGTAGCTTGTGTTTCCCTAGAGATCCCGAGAGTAGTCGAGGAGTCTCCTTTGCCCGCAGCGTCTCTTAACACCCAAGCTCTTGGTTTGTCCTCAGGTGGCCATAAAAGTCATCGATAAGAAGAGAGCTAAAAAGGACACTTATGTCACCAAAAATCTGCGGCGAGAGGGGCAGATCCAGCAGATGATTCGCCACCCCAACATCACGCAGCTCCTTGATATCTTAGAGACAGAAAACAGCTACTACCTGGTCATGGAGCTGTGCCCAGGCGGCAACCTGATGCACAAGATCTACGAGAAGAAGCGGCTGGAGGAGTCCGAGGCCCGCAGATACATCCGGCAGCTCATCTCTGCAGTGGAACACCTGCACCGCGCTGGGGTGGTCCACAGGTAAGGTCCCTGAGAGGCTGAGATGGCTGAATCTGTGCTGAGTGGACGCCCCAAGAAATGCTAAGCGACCCATCCTGTTTTGCAATTTTTCTTCCATTGGATTGTTTTATGAGTTGAGTTCAAGCCAGTATCGGGGTTCAAAGAGAGTCCAAAGGCAGAGTACCTTTTCTTGTATCCTGGCACTACCTTTGAATGGTTGTTTGACCTTGCACAAAATATTTAACCGCCCTGAACTTCAGTCTCTTCATCTGTAAAATGAGAATAATAATACTTCACTTTCCATTGATGTGGTGGTCAGTGAGTTCTTATGTAGAAAGAGCTTGAATGGTGTTCGGTGCACGGTTAGTACTGTATAAAAGTTAGCTGCTGTTCTTGTTATTTATGAAGTCATGAGACCAACCATAGAGGTGCCTGAAAGAAAACTCAGTGATAGATGATTTTTCAGCTAGGGAGAGGGCTTTCACGGTATTATTTGCTTTCAGATGGTAGCTGCTCAATAGTTGTCTTAGTCAACTGAATTGAATCACCAAATCATGGACTTGCCCTTGAAACCAAGGGGTATTCCCCATAAATCAAACCAACCTTGCGAATAATTATGAAAATCGAACTTGCCTAGCAACTTGTTCCCTCTGGGGAGGAGGCTTCCAAGAAAGTGAATGGAAATGATGTTCTTAGCAATCTTGTGGGTGCTTACATTGACAATAAAATACATTTTAAAAAGTTAAAAAATTTTCTAAGAAACTGTTGGCTCCACCCATAAATGCATAGTTCTTTCTTCATGGAATTATAATCAATAATTACAATGATAATTGTAATTATTGAGAAAAATCAATAATTACAGATAAAAATAAAAAAATCATGTTTAATTAATTCTCACTTAAAAAGTCAGCTGATGGCATGAAGTATGCATGCACACACGTATTTGAATATTTTTAAATGGAGATATAACTCACATCCTCTAAGATCTACTTTATGAGAGTGTATAATCCAACGTTTTTAGTGTATCCAGAGTTATTCAATCATTACCACAGTCTAATTTGGGAATAATTTTATTACCCCCACAAAGAAACCCTGTTCCCATTAGACACTCCCCATGCTTCCTTGTGCCATTCCTTGGCAACCATTAGTTGACTTTATGTCTCTATGGATCGGCCTATTCTGGATTTTTCATATAAATGGAATCATATAATATATGGTCTTTTGGGATTAAGGTCTTTTGCTTAGCATGATGGTTTTCAGATTCTGTCATATCAAGTATCAGTACTTCCTTCCTTTTTATGGCTGAATAACATTCCACCGTATGGATATACCACAGTCTGTGAATCTCTTCATCAACTGATGGACATTTGGGTCATTCCAGTTTTTTTGGCTGTTATGAATCATGCTTAGATGAGTGTTTATGGACAAGTGTTTGGGTGAACACATGTTTTCACTTCTCTTGTTTCTTTTGGAGAATTACATGCTTAGGGTGGAATTGCTGGGCAATTCTCAGTTTTGCCTTTTGAGGAAACACGTATTTTTTTTAAAAGTGCACATCTAAGCCGGGCACGGTGGTGCACTCCTATAATCCCAGCGCCTCAGGAGGCTGAGGCAGGAGGATCACGAGTTCAAAGCCAGTCTCGGCACTGGTGAGGCACTAAGCAACTCAGTGAGACCTTGTCTCTAAATTAAATACAAAATAGGGCTGGGGATGTGGCTCAGTGTTTGAGTGCCCCTGAGTTCAATCCCTAGTACCAAAAAAAAAAAAAAAAAAATTGAACATCTAATGGTACCTTCTCTCTGTCCAAAAGTCATTCATTTTCTGATCAGTGAGGGAAGCAGCTAGAGACCTTTACTTAATAGAGCTCTCTGTAGGAGCTCTGTAGGAGCTTTGCAGATGGAGAGGGCTGTCTCCTCCTTGGGAGCCCTGGGGAGTCTAAACCCAGGGGCGCTGTGGGGATATCCTTTGCTCGGGGCTTTTCCAGAGCCAGCCCTGGCCGGGCACTGTTCCCATTAGTCACTTCCTCCTCACTGAGGTGCGAGACCCTCTTCACAGACATATTCTTAGTCTCCCAGGCTGTCATGGTATCATCATGCTTTATTACAAGTCTTTGTGTTTCCATCAGCGAGGCAGGGAACACTCAGAAACTGGAGGTGAAGAACACTATTTTTGGCTCTTCCCCACAATACCCTCTTGTGGCCTGTGGTGTCACGGCTCTGCCATTATCAGGAAAATGATGGTCGTGAGGGTGCCTGGCACTGTCTTTGTTTATTAAGATGACAAAGCCAGAAACCTCATGAATGAATCAGCCTGGAATATTGACTCTGTGGGTCACAGCAGAAAATAGAAGCGGGGTGGAGCAGGGGGGCAAGTGGCAGAGCTTTCTGTGGGACTTGGGGTGTTTTTCCAAGGGTTTTGTGCTGTCAAAAATAAGATGGGAGAGGAGTTTCTCAGGATGTTGAGGACAGCAAAGCAAAACCAGGTGAAAGCCGGCATTGCACTCTGGTTTTCTCCCGCAGGAAATTCTCAACAACCCTTTTAAAGTAATTTTAACAAAATCCAATCCTTCTCAGTGCAATTACTGTCAGAATGTCAAAGGAATGAATTTAATAATGTTTTGATAGCAAAGACAGGACGCTTTTTCTTTCATCTCCAGCTTCTCCTTCTTACTCTCTCTCCTTGGAAATATATTCATAATCCAATAATGGTGAGGGCTCAGATCTTTCAAAGTTAGAAGAGATTGGAATCTAGATAAATATAGATTTAGGAGGATTTCTTTGCTTTTCTCTGTAGAAATCATGTTAATGTGTGTATAGCACCTGAACATAGGTGATCAGGTAGCTGAGACATTGCATTAAAATGTTTTCATAGGATACATTCATGGGTAGCTTCATCTGAAGATCTTGACTATCGGAGATTGTGATTTGGCTGGCTGCTGGTATTTTTTTATTTTTATTTTTTTACTGTAGCCTTCTCCAGTGATGGGGAATTTTCTTTGTGCTGCAGAGGAGGAATGAATTTCATAAATTATTTTGAGGTTAGATTTTTCAAATGAATAAGAGAGCCTAGCATTTCAGAGAAACCCTGGAGTCCCTGGTGGGGAAATTTCTGAGCAAATAGATTGGATTATTCAAAAGGAGCTAGAACGATTTTTGTTTTGTTTTGTTTTTTGTTTTTCCAGCGGCAGGGATGGAACCCAGGGCCTTGTGCATGCTAGGCAAATGCTCTCCAACCAAGCCACATCCCTAACCCTTTGGAATGAGTTTTTTTCTGGCTACGTAATGCAGTCACGTAAAGGCTTTTGGTTCTGAGTGTTAGAGGATGCTTTAAAACTCAGTTCTTGATTAGGCTGATACTGTGTGTGCTGTTAGGTCCTAATCAGCCTAATACGAGCAGAGCCCTCATTTCTTCTGACATTAAATCTAAATATTTAATTATCTACCCAGAAGTTCTCAATATCGTTTAAAAGAAGCACATCTTTAAAAGTCACGTGACTATTACAGGTAGACTTGGAAACAAGGAAACTAAGCCGCATGAAAACAGATTCCCAGCTTTACAGGAACCTGGACTTGTCTGGAGTCTGCATCTTTTGCTTCTGGGGGGCTCTTAGGAACTTTCACGCGAGCAGAGCGTGGTCAAACTTCACGACTCCAGTTTCAGGACTGCCCGAGATACTACACGTTTACAATATAAAGAGTTTGTTTATTTATTTTTCCCTTCCCATCCAGCGTGCTCTCCCGGCAGGATGCCCAGATCTGATGATTTGCCTATTGTATACAGAGAGTTGACTCTTACCATGAATCAATAAGACCCGCTGATTCTGCTAAGAGCTAATTTGAGATTCATCTGTTCATTCCAAATGACAAAGTCCAATCAAACTGTACAGACAAAACATTGCAGGGTAATACAATATCCTTGTCCCTAAGCAGGAAGAGACAAGCCAGGGCGCCTCCGGACTAGGAGAAAGGGACCTCTGATCAAATGGAGCCGGTGACTTGCTTGGATGTGTGTCAGCGCCACCGTGCCCCAGGGCTGTGACCTTACTCATTCATCAATGTTGGAAAAGAGTCCCCACACTTGGGAGGACAAGGAGCAGGCATAACCTGTGCTGGGAGAGGATTAAGAAGTTTTTTTTTAACTTTTAGGAGCCTCCCCCACTCCCCACAAAGGGAGGGTTGGGGAAGGCAGACGAGGGGGGAATAGTTTCTGCTCACATCCAGGAGCTGCTTGGGATCCTAGGCCTTCTGCTAAGAGCAAGCACGTATCTGGAGGTGCTGGTTCTCGAGCCCAGACTCTGCAAGGGTGGGGTTAGGTGTAATATTATGGATCCAGTCCTGGGTGCTCCCAGGACCCATAGTCGTCCTCTGCTTCTGCCCACCTGGCCATCTTCGTTGGTTGAATTCTGCTTGTCTTCCAGGTTCCAGCTCCAAGCTCATCTTCTCCAGGAAGCCCTCCAGGCTGGGCCCTGGCCATGTGCCCCCAGGGCACCCTCCCATTGCCTTCTAAATATCTCTCAGGTGATACTAACCTGGTTGTCGTCTCCTGCCCTTTGTTTAGCCCAGGGCCAAGGCCAGTGGGCACTGGTAAGACTTTGTGAAATGAAGGAAGGAAAATCGAATAAATACAGCCAGTGTCGGAGTTGGTACAGGGATGGAGGCTTTCTGGTAGGCAGACCCAGGTTCTTTCTGGAATATTCCATATTCTCCTTGGAATTTCAAGGGAGTTTTTTTCACTGACTTAGTGCCAATTGTTTGTTTTTCAGGTCACAGTCTACAGAGTGGCATCTCTTTAGTGACTCGCACTTTGATTTTATAAACAGAACTTGTTTCTAGAACACTTTAGGAACCAAATAAAGGTTTTGCTTTGAATAAATAAATCAGGTCCATGCTTGTGTTTTACCAACACAAGAATTTACCAAATGGTAAACAAATAAGAGATTTACAAATCACTTGGTTGTAATACAGTGCTTTTGAAGATAAGACCTAAAAAATCCCTCTCATTCACTACTAAATGTCTACTG